TTATTTTAATGTGAGAAGCTGAGGGGAGGCCATAGAACTTTTTATATGAGAAGATATAGTTACCCATAGTTATATCTGATATCTTTGGAGAATATTATACACACACACACACACACACACACTGTCTCACACACACTTACACATATTATACACACACACACACACACATATATATATATATATATATATACAGAGACAGAGGGAGGTAGACAGCAACAGAGGGAGAGAGAGGCAGAGAGACAGACACAAAGAGAGAGAGAGAGGCAGAGAAATTTTTGAGTGATGACTGTGATTAACGGCCATTAGCAGCTCTAATGAGGATATCTTAGTATGTCTTTTTAGAAACATACCCCAAAGTGGTCTACATAAAAACCTATCCCTCCAGAATAACAAAGAAAGGGTAGTCACTGATATCTTCTGGTTAGTGTTGTTAAAAACTGTACAGAGATCTAGTAAAATCACCATGAACATTGTCTTCCATAGGGACACTTTCATCTTTCGCCAAAAGCAACTGATTCAAGATTTATTGTATTTTCTCATAGACTGGTTAGTTTACATTATTTCTTCTCAGAAATAAAGAGGCTCATCAAAAGCAACAAAAGCTGAGTTTCTGTAGTACTTTAAAGTTTTCAAAGCATTTTACATTTTTTCACTGGAACATAAAACAACCCAGTGAAGTAAGGGTTACAGGTATCAATATACTCGTTTAACAAATAAGGAATCTGAGGCTTAAAGAGGGTAGGCAACTTGTCTTTGGTTACACAGATAGTAAGTATCCAGTGGATGAACTATCAGGTTCAGCTGATGCTAACTACAGCATTCTAGTTAACTTTCTTACACCAAATTGCATCTCAGAAAAAAAGTGAAGGGGCAGCTAGGTAGTGCAGTGAATAAAGCTTCAGCCTTAGAGTCAGGAGGACCTGAGTTCAAATCTGACCTCAGACACTTCACACTTACTAGCTGTGTGACCTTGGGCAAGTCACTTAACCCCAACTGCCTCATCAAAAACAAAAAAAGGGTGAAACCTTCTGAAATTCCTTTCTTCTCCAGAATTCTAAGTTATTTTTAGAGTTGAGGAGGAGAAGCAACAAAAAAATGGGAAATGTTCTGATCAAATTTAGAAAGGAAAATCAGAAATTAGAAAATATATATTGAATGACACCCAATTTCACCTAAAATATCAGCAGTCTGACCATCTGACTACCAACAATTTCACATATTTATACATACTTATGTATTTATTTCCCATTATAACATCACTGCTGCTTTTTGCTATAGCCATGACTTATTTTTTTATCAGATTCTAAGTATACAATGCCCTGATATATGTAAAGCAGCACATAAAGGCTTGTTGACTGACTAAAGTGCTATGTAAAGTCAGCTATTATTATTATTTTCATCATCACCATCATCACGAGACTATGTGATTTACTGGAAATTTGCTCACAGTCACAATTTCTCTCTGTCTGTCTCTTTCTCTGTCTATGGCTCTCTGTCTCTGTCTCTGTTTCTCCATCTCTCTCTCTCTCACTCTTCTCTCTTTCAGTAAATTTATTTGGAAAATCATGCCTTTTTCATCCCATGCCTTTTTCTGTGTTTCATTGAGTCTGTGATATTAATGATATGGGTAGCTCCTCCAGTGGGGCAGATTGTGACCCTTCATGCCTGCCTGGCCTACATAACTCTCCTCAACATAATCCCATAATTTTACCACATGGGGTCCACCCAGTATATTTGAAAGATGGCCTCCTATTCTCTTTGTATTACATGAATAACAATGGAGTATGTGATCAGTTCATGCTTCTGAAGGAGAAGGGAGAACATGTGGATGGAGACATCTGTAATGATTTATAAATATCCATGAGTACATTTTCTGAAAATTAAGTTTAGTTTTGTTGACTTATTAGATAATTATATTCAAAGGTGCATGAGCTCTGCATCTGCTAAGGTTGGTACATTTGTATTAGGATCCAAGTCCCTTTTTCTACTGCCATATTAAACCACATAGCCCCCAACAGTCAAAGGCCATCTGGAAGTTAGGCTATTTTTAGGGAGAGTAGTTTTACTCCTAGTGTTTTTCTTCATTTCCCCTGTATTAGACAAAGACAAGGACCTAGCAATCAGCATTGAGACAGATTGCACATATACTCCTCCTGAATAGGTAGATATGCTGACTACAGAGCAGCTTACATGCTTTTGATAAACTTAGTAGTTAGATCAACTCGGTTTGGATCTTTGCATTTATTACCCAAAACTCTGGATCTAACTAGGAAAATAATCACATTACTTGATAGTGAATAGTAAAAGAATAAATCAGCTACGTTTCATTCTTTAAAGAGCTTTGCATGAGTACTATTCAGTGTTTGCTTCTTGAATTAGCTTTATATTGCAATAGTCCTTGGATAGTTCAAAATGTCCTGTCATTTGTTAATTTTCCCATGGCTACTGTATAATAAAAATTATTCCTATGAAGGTCTGATGGAAGTGTTAATTGATTTTTGACAACAATGTTAAAATTGATTCCTAGTTTGCATTAAGAAGTTTTTGGATAAGAAACCTACATGGGGTAGTTTCCTGAAAAAAAAGGAAGTAGTAGGAGAAGCTATTTAATAATCAACTTTTGACCCTTGAATGTCCCCTTGAAACTTTTCCTAATATAATCTCATAATTTCCATAATCTGATATAATAAAACTCTGAATCCCCCACTAACATTAAATATAGCTTGTATTTTTGATGTTGAATTTTTAATTAGTCTAGTATAAAGAGTTTAATTAGTGCACAATCCAGACTAGTTTGGGGGGGTCCAAAGAATATTATGCTTCTCCTTTATGGTGTCAATTCATTTGCTGAGCTAACTTTTTCAGGAAATAGGCAAATCTTACCACATGCCATATTGTTTCCTTTTGGAGCCATGTCTGTTATTCACATACACCTACTACTGTGCAATTTATGTTCAAATCTTTGCATTCAAAATACCTTATTTGTTCAACTTGTAAAGAGTAACTTGGGTTTGAAGCCAGTAAATAGATAAAGATATGGTATAATGAACTGAATGTAGATAAGTGTTTGTGTAATATAAATGGATGACAATTAGACCTGTCCATCTTGAGAAAGTTCATGGTTGAAGGAAACATTGGAGATTAGGAGAGAGGATAATGTAGAGAGCACAAGAGGGTTCTTAGAGATGGATCTTTAAGAGCAGGAGCTTTCTCTCTGCAGGGTGAAATGGGGGAAGTCATTTTTACATGCTACTCTCTTTCTGCCTGTAAGTGCTTTGGGGTCATTCCAGTGACCTACTTGGATAATTCTCTTTCTTTGTTTCAAGTATTTCCTTATCTATGAAATGGGCAAAATAATACTTGTACATCCTCAATGAGTTATTGTGAGGAAAAGTCTTTATAAACTTTACAGCACCATAGAAATATGTAGTATAATAATGCAGTGGTTACAAATTTTGTGACTGTCATTCCTTCCCTTCCTAAATATGCAGTGTTTCTCACTTCTATTTTTTTCCTGTCTGCCTCATTGTATCTTATATCATATGCCCTTGGACCTATTGTTATCAAATGTTTACATTTATGATTATACTTGCTATTGCTCTGGAAGCACATGCAATATCCACAATTTTGGATTAAATTTAGATTTTGAGAGGAGAATCAACTCGTCAGTGTTCAATTATGGAAGCCAAAATACCAAAGAAATCTATTTTGAGAGAATTTTAAGATCATTTGATTTGAAATATTGGTAATGAAATTAACACATATTTGAACTGTAATATTATGTGCAAAGTTAGGTATAACTGGAAGGAGTTTTCAATTGAGATGAATAAATTTTTATTTCAATGCATGTATCATTCTTCAACAAGATCATAGACCACATGCAAGGTATTTCTTTAATTTGGTCACATAGCAATGTCTAAGCAGCACAAATAATTAATGCTTGTTATATTGACTGTGATAAATTGCAATTTGGCTTTTTTTCCTAAGCAGTGATGACAGAAGTCATTGCTGTGCACCAAAGAATAATTCCATTTTGCTTCATTATCTTCTCCTACAAGGGAATGTACATCTTCATCCTCATCTCACTTTCTTTTTTTCCAAGAAAGTAGCCTATATAGTGGAAAGCATTATGAATTAGGAGCCAAAATACATGGATTCTAGTTCTAAAGTAACTTTTGGCTAGTCTATGTGATCTAGAACAAGTCACTTTGATTTTTAAACCTCATTTGTAAAAATATGAATAACAGCAATATCTACGTTGCCTCTTTCACTGGATTGTTGTGAAGAACAAATGCATAGGTAAAATGGAAAATAGTGTGACACTTTATAGTAAAAATTTCAATTCAGATAAAAAACAACAGGAGCCCAAGGTAGGAAACATGGTAGCAGGCTCAATAGAGCAGTTAATGGATGTGCTATTATTTTAGAACTATACTACAGACCACCTACACAGAAAGATGACATAGATAAGAGTTTTGAGTTTTGGAGAGATATCACAAATGTGATATGGAGATATGATATAGTATTGGTAGGGGACTTCATTTATGTGCTGGAACATTCTCAGTCTCTCTCTATGTCTGTGTCTCTACATCTTTTTCTTGGTAAATATCTTTAAAAGATCTTTTAAAAAGACTAAGACCAAAAAAATTTCTTTAAAATGGGGGGAAATGATGTATGACTAAAATTTTACTATTATGAATATCTTATTCTATTTTAATAATTATGAAAAAGGAAACATGAAACTATCAGAACATTTTTCTCCACTGGAATATTATTAGATTATGCAAACAACAAAACAACCACCAAAATTAAATTTAAAAACTCATAAAAATTCTTTGATTCTTTACCAAATCAAGCTCTTTTGTTTCATAAAAATGTACATTAAAATTGTGCAGCTGAAAATGTCATTTTTTTCTCTTTATGACCTCTCATACTTGCCCTCCCTGTTATAAAGATGTAAGAAAATATTTGTCTTTGTTCCTACTTTCTCTTGCAAATAGACATCGAAGCCACTGAATTCATCAATCTGTTGGTCACTCCAAGTTTCCAGTTAACGAGTTAGAAGGCCACAGCACAGCCGAGGAGGAGGGTTCTCTGTAGCCTCAAAACTTGCTCAGAGGATGTTCTGCACCAAGCTGAAAGACCTTAAGATTACTGGAGAGTGTCCTTTCTCTTTACTGACTCAAGGCCATGTCTCAGAAGAACATGAAGAGGAATGTGCAGAGCGAACTGATAGTTCTAAGGCAGCTCTGCCCGTGTGCCAGGAAGTTACTGAGAAACATGTCTGTGCAAATCTTCCTCAAAGAAAGACCAGCCGAAACCGAGTGTATCTGCACACTTTAGCAGAGAGCATTTGCAAACTGATCTTTCCTGAGGTAAATAGTGACACTTTGACAATATTTATCCCTTTAATTTCTGCCTGTTGAAGTTGACTGGGAAGATTGGGAATTAATTTAAAACCAATCCATAACCGTCATTTCAAAAAAAATGAAACTCCTAATTTTTTTTCTCTTTCAACTAAAATATTTATTTTTTTTTTAAGTTTACTTCTTCCAGCAGCTCCAAGGAGCAGAACGTGGGCCCTGGAGGGCTGAGGAGTTTCAAAAACAGCTTCTCTACCCTCTCTGATTTGGTTTGATTGGAGACTGCCTGAGCTAGAATCAGTTACCCTAGTAATCACTAATCCATAATAGCTGCTGGCTCTTGTCACTGCCTTGATTATATATAGGAGATACTCTGCATAGTGACATATTGAGGTCTTAGTAACTGTCACATCTCCACTTCTGTGGAATGCCTGGAGATACAAAATTCTGCTGAGATCCTTAAGTATTTCAATAGCCAAATGGAAATACAGAGAGTGTTTCTGCTTCCTCCAGGGTATATAGTGCATGGGGGATGGGATGGGGATGGCCCCAAAGATTATAGCATCATACATCTAGAACTCATAGGGACCAGTAGGTTTCATAGACCATTTAGGCCAACCTTCTCATGTTAAAGATTAAGAAACTGAAACCTTGACAGGTTAAATAAAGTGCCCAAATTTGAAACCATATCTTCTGACTCCAGAGTCAATACTTTTCCAACACTCATTTTCTCTTTATGGAAATTCACATGGCATTTCCCTTCACAGGTTTATACAAGTTGCTGACAAAGCCCAATCTCTAACCAATGGGATAAGAAATCAAGTTCATACATTCATATTGATTAATAATCATTCCTTTATTCACCCACTTTTTGTGACCAGATTCAAATACTCAAATGGATCTGTGATCTCATCAATCTGAATGCCCCTCCAATGATGCATATCTCATCTCACCTCTATCTGCTCATCTTGTAATAATGATGATAATGATGATGATGATGTGCCAGGTACTGTGTTAAATTCTTTACAAATATTACCTCATTTGATCCACACAACAACCCTGGGAAGTAGGTGCTGTTATTATCCCCATTTTGCAGTTGAGGAGACTGAGGCAAACAGAGGTTATGTGACTTGCCCAGAGTCACAAAGCTGGTGTCTGAGGCTAGATTAGAACTCAAGTCTTACTGACTCCAGGTCCACTACAATATCCACAATGCAACCTAGTTGCCTTTTCCTATATGGCTCTTCTCCTTGTTCTCCTACAAGTTCACCCCAGGAGATCTACCCAACTTGTGGGAAACTCTGTCACTTTCTTTTGCCATTGGGGGGGACCAGAGGAGCACACAGGCTGCCTATTGGTTATTCCTTAGTCTTTCAGAGTGGCCTGCCCACCTTATTTGTCAATCACACATTTTTTTGATAATGTCCTTTATTCTGATTCTTCTTCAAGCTACCTTCTGATTCTTCTTCATAGCTCCCTTTTGTTATGGATTGTATCCTATTTGTGTCCATGATTCATTAGTATAGTACTTCAAGGGAAAAATAGCACTGGAAGGTATCTCAGAGATCATACAATCCAAATTCTTCATTCGACAGCAAAAGAAACTGAATTTCAGAACAGTTCCAGTCTGTCCAAAATCACACATCTTGTTCCTACAAGGATGTGACCAGCCTAGGCACTGTGGTAAATACACGGAAAGGAAAGTATTTAATGTAGCCCTGCCTCTAAAGCTCTTACTTTGAGAAATAAGTGCATGAAATATTTACATAATAACATAATACCTAGCATTTATAGAGTGCATTAAAGTTTGGAGAGTACCTCATGTATATTACCTCCTTTGATCATCAGCATGCGTGTTAAGAAGGTACTATGATTATCCTCATTTTACAGTTCAGGAAACTGAAGATGAAGGAGGTTAAGGAAATTGACAAGGGTCACACAGCTAGTAGGTTTCTGAGGCAGGGTTTGAATTCAAGTTTTCCTGATTCCAAGTCTAGTTCCCTAACCACTATACCACTAATATACCTTATGACTTGGTGCCAAAATGAGTGATACAGACAATAAATGTTATAGGAACTCAAGGAAGTGCATGGAAAAATATGTGAAATGACAATGATGATGATGATGGTGGTGGTGGTGGTACAACTGGCATTTATATGGCACTTTAAAGTTCATAAATTGCTTTGCCTTCATTATCTCATTTGAACCTCACAACAACCCCAAGAAATAGGTAGTAAAAGTATTAGCATCGCTATTTATAGGTGAGGAGAAAATGGCTTTCTAACTTGCCTAAGGTAACACAGCTGATAAGTATCAGAGGCTTGACTTAAATCTAATTCTTCCTGACTTGCAAGTCTGTGTTCTGCTATATGTTGCCTCTTAGAAGAAAGTGCCTGGAGCTGGGAGAGGAAAGATTCAGATATCAACAACTCACATTTGGCTCATGCTTTAAGCTTTCCAGTGTGTTTTCCTCAAACCAACTTGTAAGTGTGTTAGATAATTTAAGTATCATTATCTCCATCTTAGATGTGAAGAGAACTAAGGTACAGAGAATTTAAATGACTCACTCATAGTCATACAGTTGATAAAACCCTGTAGCTAGGATTAGAAAATAGTTCACTATGAATTCCAAGTTCATTGCTTTTTGTGCCACACCATGCTGGAGAGATATAGCTCGTCTAATTCTCCTAGGGTGAGAATGAGAGAAAGCACAGGGAGATTGTACGAATATGAACAACTCTTCATTATACAAGGTAAGGACAGAGATGATGTTAGTGTTCAGATGTTGCTTAGTCCTTATCTTTTAGTACTTACTCATCTATTATTTCTTGGTGTCTAAATCATAATCCCTCTAGGCCTTAATAGACAGTCTTCTTGAGTTTTATGCCTGGCTAGCCACTTCAAATCTCCTTGGCAGATCAATCCTTAAACAACAAATATACAGTGTGGTTGGACCCTTACTCAATGCCTTTTCCCTTGGATAGGATCAAAGGGAGCTTATACTCTGCTATGATGTCATTGGAGGTCCCAGGGTCACCTCCATGCCATGACGAGGTATGGGAGTAGGACTTTGGTAGAAATATTTCTTATTAAGTATGACCAAAAAAATACATTGGAGAAGATGGCTTTTGTTTTGTTTTGTTTTCTAGACAGTCAGAATTTGTTCCATAGTGGGAGTATAAGTGTCCCAAAGTTTCTTGGTGGCACTTGTATTTTTTTAGAACAAATTGACAGTTTCTTTTTCTTCAGATTCCCCTCTTCTTTTCTCTTCCTAAAAAGTCATTATTGCCTAATCTATAACAGAAAAGACTGTTCTATTCTGTCTTGCTTAGTTCTAAAATAGGACTTTATAGGACTTTGCATCCTGCCTCAGGTATTTACTAGCTGTGTAATCCTAGACAAGTCACTTAACCCCTTGGAGCCTATGTCCTCATCTGTAAAAATGGAGGTAGTAATAACTGTTGCATTCACCTCATAGGGTTGCTGTGAAGACTAAACAATATAAGGTATATAAAGTGCTTTATATAAATGTTGCTATTATTATTATTACTAATCTATTCAATCAGTTGGAACTTTAAGGGGCAACATAGGAAAATAAAATCTTCCAAGACATAAATAACCAGAAAGCAACCTTCTCTTTTCTCAGTGCAAGTGGAAAAGAAACATAATTAGCTGTGAAGAATCTGTGTAAGAATTTGGTTGGAAATCATTTACACTTACCTTAATCCCTCCATTTGCTATTAGTTTAATCAGTCATCGAATTCTTAAGCCCTTACTAGATGGATAGCATTTTCTTAGGCATTATTAGGAATATAAAGGAATTATCTGGTCATTTCCATAAGCAACTCACAGTCCAAATGGGGGAGAAAAGCCCAACATGTGTGAAATATTTATATAGCAGTACAAAATTATAAAGAGCTAAATGTTGCCAACCATAAATTCAATAGTATCTCATAGATTCTAAGAATTGAAGGAGCCTTCAAGGACCATGTTTCTCAACTATACCTGACTAAGTATATCTTTTACAAATAGCTCTGCTTGAAGAATTCTCACTCCTCACTACTTCTCCAGGGCTTCCAATTTGACTTTGGGATAAATGTAATTGTTAAAAAGCTCTTCCATATATTAGCAATTTGAGAGAGAGAGAGAGAGAGAGAGAGAATCCAAGACTGATTTTTAAGGAAGAATTTGACAGAACTTGGTGACAGAGTTGATCAAGAAGATAAAGAATATGGAAGAGCCAAAGATGATTCCCAATGTTTCTATCATGGCAGATTGGAATAATGGTGGCAATTTTTATAGAGCTGTAGAAGGTGGTAAGTAGAACCAGTTTAGTATAGCTTTTTGAGGGGTGATTCAAGATGAAGAGTTTGGTTTGGGTCATGTTGATATGGATAGGATATCAAAGTGAAGATACTGACTCAGGGAAATAACAATAAATGAGACCTCAGGACCAGATTTAAAATGACTATACCAGAGATTCTTATTTTGAACCTGAACCAGCTTCACTTTGGGCGTGGGGACAGAAGGAGAAGGATAATTGACTCATCCATAAGAACAAAGTCTGTAGGACCCAATATATATCCATGTCTTGCTGGTCTTTCATGAGGTTAAACACACACACACACACAGAAAATGAGTACCAATTTCTGTAGTATAAATTGATTCCATTTGTCATTAAAATAGTACCATTTGTGTTTCATCTTATGAGAATGGCATGGCTCATTTATTTTTATTTATATCTTCATTGAATTGACATTTTGAAAGGATTTTTAAAACTTTTTTTTATAGTATGAAAGACTGCATCTTGCACTTCAGAGAACATTGGCAAAGCATAAAATGCAAGAAAGAAGGTAAGTTTAAAACATTTTTAACGTAAAGAAACAAAAATGAATAAGTAGTATTTGAGTTAGTGGAAATCAAAACTTGTAAAACATGGGAAAGAGTTCCAATAACATTGTTAGAACTGTTACTAAGATCATTGTGTTCTATGCATAACAAAAGCGGATGAAGATGAGAGAATAGTAAAATAAACTGAAAAAATTCTGGTAATACGTTGATTGTCAGACACTCTTGAGGATAGTTATTCTGGATATTCATACATTCTGGATAGCAGAAGATTAAAATTTTAAGGGTTGTGCCTTTTTTCTTCATTTTATGGAAATCTTTCAAAAAGATAATATCCTTGCCCTCCTGTCTTTAAGAGTATATTAAGCATGATCATTTATTGAAATCAATATTGAAATATTGAAATAATAGCTATATAGCTATTATTTATCATATTATAATTATCATGTAGGTAGCTGTTAGCCTACCTCATCCCACCCCCCATATGCATAATAAATATACCCTAATCATAATAACTGAACAGCATAAAACATTTGATTTAATACAATTTGGTGAGTTAGGTAGGATACTACTATTACCATCCCCATTTTCAAAGGAGAAAACCAAGGCTGAGCAAAATTAGGGGACTTGCTTCTTTTTACGTGGATAATAAGTGACACAGCCAAGATTCAAATTCAGTTTCCACTAGACCATACGTTGAGGTATTTTGCCGTCGACTCACCTTCCTGTGAAGATTGTAGTTATTTATTTTCTATCCATCCCTAATTTTCTCTGTGTTGCCAGTGTCTACATCTTCTCATACCCATTGCTACTTGTAACTACCACTCCTGTGAATGATCTCTATCACTCTTTTCTCTTTCAGATTTTTTTAATACAGAAAAAAAAGGGTTAGTGGATACCTTCTGTTTTTACATGACAATCACTTTCCAATACATCCAATTAGTTCCTATTTCTTTTCTATATTTTGCCGTGTCTTCCAGGTTTTTCAGCCTTTGTGGGTAAAATTGTCAATGCTAGAGCAAACCAAAACTAGAAACAGAACCAGAACCAGCACCAGCACCAAAAACGTAGGAACCAATGAGGATATATTGAGTTCACCACTAAGGAAGCCCTACCTGCACTAGTGGAGACTCCCCAAAGGAACAAATGGACAAAGCTTATATATTTTAATTAGGTGGGAGGTAATTTGGGTAAGGGCCACCTCTTGATTGAACAAGCCTTGTTACTGGGACTTAGAGAATAAGATTGGGAGCGTGTAACTGGAAAGGCTCTTATTTGAATTAGCTGATTCTCATAACCCTACCCTAATAGATAAGACTATTCTGTATACTTGCTGCTTCAGCAGTAAAAAAAAGTCCCAAGCAAGGGCAGAGACTGCAGTACAAACAGGGTCAAAGACAAAATAAAGAAACTACAGACAAAATGGAGTTGCTTCAGTTTTCTCAGCTACATACACCTATATAAAAAAAAGTGGTCATTTTTAGGCATTAGTTCATCTAATATTTTCTACATGATTAATGACCAATTTTTGTTTGTTATTTTAGTTCATAACATCTTTGTTATTAAACAGGTTCCCTATTACCATTTTTCTAATTGTGAATCTAGAATCTAGAAGACCTAAGACTCTAAGAGGGTTCAATTTTGGAAATTGGAGGCTTTACTCTAAATGTAGTTAACTCTCCACTAGCCACGAGTGAAGTATGTTTTGTGAATTATCCGTGACCACTTTTCTTCCATTGGCAAGTTGCTGGTCAGTAATTGGACCAACTCATGGGTGAGAATCAGAATTTGGGCCATCCAAAGACAATGAAAAGAAACATGGAGGCATGCATGTGATCAATGAAAATTTGCAGACAAATACTTTTAAAGTACCTTTAAAGAGATTGCTAGAAAAGGGATGGTTTTACAAAAACCCAAAACTTATACGAACTGATACAAAGTAAAGTAAGCAGAACCAGAGAACAACGTAGACATTAACAACAATTTTGCAACAATAATCAACTGTGAAAGACTCAGCAACTCTGATAAACACAATGATACATGATAATCCCAAAGGACTCACAATGAAAAATTCCATCCTCCTCTAGATAGAGAACTGATGGACTCTGATTACAGAGTAAAGCAAATTTTTTGTCTCGCTTTTTTTTCTTGATTTTTTTTGCAACAAAGTTAATATGGAAATATGTTTTGCCTGACTTCATATGTATAATAGGTATTGTATTTCTTGCCTTCTCGACGGGTGAGGGAGGGGATAAAAGGAAGGAAAGAATTTGGAAGTAAAAGTAAAAAGAAAGAAAAAAACGAAGAGTTCAAACTGTTTGGACATACCAGTCTTGCTATTGCTTAAAGTTATCATTATGAAAATCAATTATTATACTGTGCTGTATATCTCACCACCCTAACAGGCTAGTAAGGATATAAATATATATATATATATATAGGTATATTTTTACTAATGCTAAATAGCACCAAGTTATTGTGCTATTTTTGAGTTTTCATGACTACATCTTATGATCTTTCTCTTTACTATAAATCAAGTCAAAAAGCATTTATTGAGCACTTATTACATGCCAGACATCGTGCTCAGTGCTAGGGATACAGATAAATGGGAGGAAACTTTGCTACTTTCAAGAAGATAACATGCAAACAACTATGTGCAAACAAGATATTCACAAGTTAAGTTGGAGGTAATCTCAGAAAATACACTAAGAATAAAGATGACTAGGAAATGCCTCTTGCAGAAGGTGAAACTTTAGCTGAGACTTGAAGGAAATCAGGAAATCAGGAGGCAGAGATGAGCAGAGAGCTTTAGGAATGAGGGGCAGCCAGTGAAAATTCCTGGAGTATAATAATAGTAGCATTTATATAGCAGTTTAAGATTTATTAACTCCTTGAAAATGATCCAGCAAGCTCCTTGAGAGCAGAGATTGTTTTTTGCCTTTCTCTGTGTCTACAGGACTTAGTTCATTACCTGGCACGTAATTGGCATAGAAGACAATGATTGCTAATTATCTGACTAGTTTTATAAATATTATCTCATTTGATCCTCACAATAATCCTGAGAGGTAGGTACTTATTATATTCCCATTTTACAGATCAGGAAACTGAGGCAGAAAGTGACAAGGCAACTTCCCCATAGTTCCATAGATAGTAAGCCCTGACTGTAGGTCCAGAACTTTATCCATCATACCATTTAGATGTGCTCCATTTGGCTATTTATGGATGCAAGGTTATTTGGAAAACTGGAAAATTCAAGAAAAATGGATTCTGAAAATATAAAATTTTATTATAAATGCAATCAATGCTCACTAGCCACAAATGAGATAAGTGTTTTGTGTATAGTCCATGATTACTGAGCAGCTGGATCCCAAGCTGCCTGTAATAGAATTAAATAATGTCTAGTTATTGTTAAAACTGCCTTAGTCCTGTCTTCTAATCAGTTGTAGGTTGAGAAAAAAACAAGTAAGGTGTGATGTAAGGCCTGAAAATCTCGGGTGTGAGAAAAGTTCATATTCTTCTTATTGCATGGATTTTATGATATCTGTCTGCACTGCCTAAAGACCTGTTTGGCTTACTTTCCTTGTCTCGAATGTGTTATGAATTGAGTTTGCCAGATAAATGACCCCTCAAAAGAGAGGGTGTTACTGAGCATATAGCAATAGTACAAATACAGCATGTGTGAAAGAAGAAAAACTAGAGGGACTATTTTGTTTTCTGTTAAATTTGCAATTATCTATGCCTCTAATATGTGGGTATTGAAAGTTTAATGAGACTCATGTTTTTTTTTCCCCACATATATACTTTCATTCTATAAAAGAAATGGATTCTGTTGAATGACACAGGAAGCAAATGGAAGAACACATTAACATAGAGAAACATAACCTATGGTTTTGTGGTACATGGACATAATTCAGAGATAAAACTACCTAATACATGTCATTATGGGTAAAGGTATATGCCCATGACATCTCAACATAATGTGTCAAGGAATTTTTCTCATGAGACATTTCTGTCTATAGCCTCTACCCACGTACTAATTGTCATTGAAATTGGTTTAAAGTTACTAAAAATATACCTATTTGAAAATTTGTAGCAATCTGCTCAATTGCAATGAGGATTTGGAATATAATTTAAAATTCTTTAGAATTATACCACATTTGGCCAAAATTAGTCAACTTATTAGCTAACCCTGAAACACAGAATGTCAAACATGAAATGCCAAGAGGATAAGAGCAAACAGAGCAGTAGGAAAGTGTGAGACAAGAACTTGGTTGAGTCACTAAATAGCTTTTTACCTCAGTTTCCTCATCTGTAAAATGACAATGATACTAATACTTATACTACCTACCTTTCAGACTTATTTTGGGAAAATCTTTGTGCAAATTTTAAAGTGATATTAATTTCTATAATAACAATTATCAATAGTCATTAGTATTTAATAAAATTCAAAACTTCAGACCTTAGTAGAAACCTTAGAGATCAGAAAACATCCCACTGAGTCTTTCAAACATAAAAAAAAAGAGTAAGATTATAGATTTTATCAAGGAAAATAGCAAAATTAGCAAAGTCCAAATAATCTCCAGAATGATACAGCAGAAAGATTTCTAAATTCAGAGTCAAAGGACATGAATCCCAGACAGCACTATTGCATACTATTTGTGTGACCTTGAGGCAGTCAATCCCTCTGGGATTCATGTTTCTTATCTCTAAAATGAGGAGTTAAACGAGATGAAATTTGTAGTAGCTTTCTACCTAAAAGTAAATGATCATATAATCAGATTTTATCTCTTCGTTTAGTTGAATTTTTAAATCCTTGATATATGTTTTCTTGTCATCTGCCACTCTTTGAGAACACCATCCTTCTAAGTTTTCAGGGTGTACAAAGATGATTTTAATATTAGCTTAAGAAAAAAATGCACTTAAAGTAAATTTGTTTCGTTAAAACAGTACAAAGCATGCTATAGACAAGCCTTTCTTGTTATTGTTATCTGTTGCTCTGGATTATCCATGCTACTATAATATTTCTTTCCACTAATCTGGATAATCATTAAGTGAACCTGTACAAAAAATAACTTTACACTTTACACTTTTTCTTCTCCTTGGTCATCCCTTTGTAAAATTATCAGATATGTTTTGTCATTCATTTGCTAGTTTTTAATTTATGTTGTTATGATTTTTTTCAGGAAATCTTTGGAAAAAGAGGATTTTGAAAAATTCATTATAGAGCAAGCAAATGCAGCAGGTAATACAATTACCTATAAACTGATATTAAGTGACTGGGAAGTATAATTATTGAATTATCAAATCTTAGTGCTAGAAAGTACCCAAAGGTCATCTAGTTCAAATATTGTAATCATCAAGAGCTAGTATATTCCAATAAAAATAGACTAGATCTATATAAAGCAAGGGTTTCCACACTCTATGTATTGTTAGACCCAAAATATTTTCCCATTTATGTTACTTATCTGCCAGGAACTAGAAAAATAATGTCTAGTTGGCAGAGTCATTGGAACACTTTGATCTGGGAAGATGACCAGGGGCACTTAATTTGCTACTAGTCAATTAAGGTTTGAACAAAGACAATTCTTGCCATTAGGAAGAGGGGAAAAAAGAAGTTTGCTATAGAAGCAAAATTGAGATTTAGAGCAAAATGAAAATAATGTAAAACTATCTATCTCTATATAAATTGATAGGTACATGTAATACATATACATGTGCATATATATATGTGTGTGCATACATGTGCTCTATAGTATGTGTGTGTTCTATATGTGTGAATATATATATGTGTGCATATGTACGCATTCTATATAACCTGTGATTTCACTGGCATAAGGAACTTTTCATGAAGAAATTATCTTTGCCAGTGCAGGTCAGCAAGTACTCTGAAATGTAGTCTTAGTTGCCTAGGACACTAAAAGTCATCTTTATGTATTAACAGTCATAAAATATGGTTGTCTATGGAGATGAGATATGAGATGATATAACTTTCTATAAGCTTTTATAAATATACAAAATTCAAGAATATAAATTATTGGTGGGTTGAATTGACTGTTGCCAGGAGGATCAACCCAAATATTGTAGCAAGAAGTGAAGGCCATTAGAAAAAGGAGAAAAATCTTTTTGAATTGTAACCTTTTTGACAGAACATGTCCTAGTTGAGGGATCTTCACCTCAAAGCCATTGTGCTTGGTGTAGCTTCCTAGGTCATTCTATGCTGCTATTGATCCCAAAGCAATATTAACAAGTGTCTGTGAGTTGGAGCAAAGACTGAGATTTTAGTTATGCAATTAGTTTAGCATATAAACTGAAAATGACATGCAGTTTTGAGCCTTTTACCACTGCTGTAATAAAGGTGCTGAAAAAAAAATCCCATACCATTCCAGGTGTTCCAGGGGATATTATCAAAGAATCTCTAGGTGAAGAACTCTTCAAAATATGCTATGAGGAAGATGAGCATATCCTAGGTGTGGTTGGAGGGACCCTCAAAGATTTCTTGAACAGTTTCAGCACCCTTCTGAAGCAGAGCAGCCATTGCCAGGGAGCCGAAAAGAAGGGCCGACTTGAGGAGGTGTCCATACTCTGCTTGGAGAAAGACCCCAATGTCTTAAATGTTTACTATTTTTTCCCTAAGAAGACGACTACCCTCATTCTTCCAGGCATCATTAAGGCTGCTGCTCATGTACTATATGAAACCGAAGTGGATGTGACCTTGGTGCCTCCCTGCTTCCGTAATGACTGTAATGAGTTTGTGAATCAGCCCTACTTGTTGTACTCTGTTCAGGTGAAAAGCATAAAACCTTCCCTGTCTCCTTGCAAACCTCAGTCTTCTTTGGTGATTCCAACCTCTCTTTTCTGTAAGACCTTTCCTTTTCATTTTATGTTTGACAAAGACATGGCCATTTTACAGTTTGGCAATGGCATTCGGAGGCTGCTGAACAGAAGGGACTTTCAAGGGAAACCTAACTTTGAAGAATATTTTGAAATCCTTTCCCCAAAAATCAACTACTCGTTTAGTGGGATCATGACCATGTTGAACATGCAATTTGTCATAAGAGTGAGAAGAGGGGACAACTCTGTCAAGAAATCTTCAGGGGTAAGGATGTATATATGTGAAGGAAGGAAGAAAGGAAGTAGAGAAGGAAGGAAGGAAAAAGGAAGGAGGGAAGGAAGTAGGAAAGGAAGGAAGGAAAGAAAGAAGGAGGAAGGGAAGGAAAGAAGAAGGGAGGAAGGAGGGAAGGAAGAGAGAAAGAGAGGAGGGAGGGAGGAGGAAAGGCGGAAGAGAGGAGGGAGGGAGGAGGGAGGAAGGGAGGGAGGAAGGAAATGCATTCATATTTGCTCTTTGCCAAACACTGAGATAAATGCTGGGAATTCATACACGAAAATGAGATAGTCCTTGCCCCAAAGGAGCTTACATTTAATATGGTGAGATAATATGTATTAGGAAGTGGTAGCCAAAGAAGGATGTTTAGGTCTGAAAAGTCTCAGAAATAGCAGATTTTTCAACAGGGCAGTCAGTTTACCAGCCCTTTCAAAAAGCAGTGCTAGTATTGATTTGACTTTTATACTCAGAGAAAGAGGTATAGAAGGAGTTTATGTGGGGAGGGGTGTGTTATATGATGTCAGGGATGATGGACTATGTGGATGGATGGCTGGGGTATGAAGTGTGGCCTATGGCCAACTAAATATAAGAGGAAGAAAGAAGCATTTAAGTGACTATGATATGCCAGGCAAGGTAGTAAATGCTTTACAAATCTTACCTTATTTGATCCTAACAGAAATTCTGGAAAGTAGATGTTATTGTTACAGTTGAGGAAACTAAGGCAGACAGAGGTGCAGTGACTTGTCCAGGCTCACAAAACTTTTAACTATTTGAGGCTCGGTTTGAACTCCAGTATTCCTGACTCCAGGTCCCATATTCTATTCACTGCACAACCAATCTGCCTGTAATGGGCTATGTGAGTTTGTGCTTACTCACTCAACAGCAAGAACAAGGAGGGCAGGAATTTTAAAGTTGAGTGATTTAAGTCCCGCAGGGCATGGTCACTGTCTATCCAGTCGTCCAAAGGGTACTTCAGCAAGGGCACCAGATTGCAGCATCAGTAGGTGGCAAGGGCTGGGATGGTAAATGGATGGGATGTGAAGCATGGTCTGATCTAGGGCTATAAAGTATGCATAATGATATTATCTGCGTTGATCATGTAAAATATGAAAAGGAAATATGAACAAGGAAATCTAAAGCATGCACCAGGTCAGTTATTTTGACAAAACCTGTGGGGGAATAATTTGATTTAATTCAATTCATTAATATTTATTAAGTTCCTACTATGTTTCAGAAACTGGTATAGGTGCTGGAAATCCAAAGACCAAAATAAATGAGTCTCTGTCCCCAAGGAGTTTATGTCCTCCTGCCAGCTGTGAAAAATGTTTTTAAGAATTGTTTTTTTTTAATCTCTATAACTTGTCCAAAATCCCAATTAAAAGCTTCTGTTGGAAAATGGATAGAATGCCTATTTAAGTATTTTACAAATTTTGTAGGTATTGACAAAAAGATGAATTAATTTGAAATATTAAGAAGTTAGTATTTGGGGAAAAATCATTTTACAAAAGGCAGAAAAATGGATTTTCCCATCTACACTCATTTGTACAAGTCCCTTATTAATAATAATTGATATTTATATAAGACTTTAAAGTTCACAAAGTATTTTACTTGTATTATCCCCTTTAAGCCACCCAACAACCTTGTAAGACAGGCTTTAATCATTCACACTTTATCAGTAAGGAAGCCAAGTCTCAGAGAAATGAAATGTCTTACCTATGGTCACATACTTAGTCAGTATCAGTGGTGAAATTTGAACCCAGAGATTGTTGACTTCATATCCCACCCTAGATCCATTATGCCAAGCCTGCCTCTAGTCTGTGCCTCTAGAGCACTGAATCAGGTGCTAGAGAAGAAGAAAACAAAGCCAAAAAAGACGTAGTCTTTGCCCTCATTAACAATGACAGGCAACATGTTTGCTTTGAAAATGTCTCTATTACACAGTGTGAAAATCAGCAAAGATGATCGGTGTCCTCACAACAGAAACTTTGGGTGATTTTGTGTGCTGAGGAAGGCATGCTTGTGAAACCAAGCTTGCTTGTATTTCTGTAGGCCTGCATTCAGCTGATAATAAATGTCTGTGCCTTATCACACAAAACTATCTAATGGTTTCTTGCACAATCATGGCTAAGCTCTTTCTTAATAACCTTATAAAAGACTTTTTTTAGAAGGCAGAAGAATTTAGTGCTGCTCTATGTTGTTAAAATGACTGAACCTTCCTGGCGGTTTTTTGTTTTGCTCTTTGGTGAGGCAATAGGGACTAAGTGATTTGCCCAGGGTCACACAGCTAGGAAGCATCAAGAGTCTGAGGCCGCTTTTGAACTCAGGTCCTCCTGACTCCAAGGCCAGAGCTCTATCCACTGTACCACCTAGCTGCCCCGCTGTGGTGGTTCTTAATGCTGTCTAATCCCATTAGTCTATTAATCCACAGACAATGTTTCCTGTCTCTCTTTAGTTCTGTAGATCATTTCTGCACTTCTGTCCTCACATTAACTCTAGATCTAGAAGGACCCTCAAAGGTCCAAACCCCCATCATCTTAGAGATGAGTGACAGAGCCAAAGACAAGACAGTTTTGCACCCTAAAGTTAAAAGTTCATCCCCCACCCTATATTTGTCAATGTCAATTGGCAATGCCTTCATTGAAACACATGCAACTTATCACAAAATGAATAGCTGTAGTCCATGAAGAACAGGTTTTTCTGGCATTAAAAATATCTGCCTACAAAAAGTCATTTTAAAAAAATGTATCTGCATCACTTCATCACTGATTCACCCTTAGTTTGTTGCCCTAATCTGGTGACACTCCCCAAATGTCATCTACAATGTGGTTGTCGGTTCACTGCTGATTACTCTCAACAACTTCTGAATTAGGCAGTGTTGTATGTGTAATAGTGCCACATCTATAGCTAGGGGATGTCATTTCTAGTCTAGGCTCTGCCATTTCCTACCTTTGTGACTTTGGGAAAGTCATATTAAGTCTTTGGATATTAGTTTCCTCATTTAAAAAAAATTCAGGGTTGGTTTTTTTTTCAATATTTATTGTTAACTTACAAATTTCGGCCCATTTATTTTCTCTGCCCTGAACAGAGTTTTTTTGAGGGTGGATATGAGAAGAGCACAACAAGTTGTCCTGTATTTGGTCATGTCTTCTTATAAATAATGTGTAATATAGTATAGTATATGTGTGTAATGTGTAATATAGTAGAGAAGCATAAATAATTGTGTACTAACAGCATTTTAAAAAATACTAAATAGCTCTGATTTTTTTAAATGAGGAAACTGATGCCAAAAGCCTCCATGTGACTTTCCTAAGGTCACAAAGGTAGAAAATGGCAGAGCTAAGATAAGATTTCATGTCCTTTGACTATAGATGCAGTACCCATTAACAGATATCACACTGAGTAAAGATTGATTGCAGTTTAGTTGATGGGTGTTATGATGGCATTAGAAACTAAACTGAAACAACTCCATTTGGTTTTCTGAGAGGAGCAGTGTAACATAGTTGATAGAGTATTAGAATTGGAGTCAAGAAGATGTGGGTGTGAATCCAACGGGTGACACTAGTGATGTGACCATGAACAAGGAACTTCTCTGAGATTATGGAAACTCTGTAAGACTTTGAGTTATAAAGGGGTTGAGGTCTACATTACTGGAGGAAGATCCAATACCAAGAAAAGGTTATTTTATAAGTATATTTAATTCACTTTATTCAAAACCTAAACCAGGGCACCGTGACTTTTATTATGTTATGAACTCCTATGACTGTTTGGTGACATCTGGACCTCTTCTCAGAATAATGTTTTTAAATAAATAAAGTAAAACACATAGGACTACAAAATAAACCAATTAAATTGAAGTACTGTTACTTAATTTTAAAAAGTCATGGGCCCCAGGTTTAAAAACTTGTGATTTAAATAGATGGTTAGAAATGAGCTCATTTCCCAAATGTTAAAGGTGAGTTCATTAATATTTAGCAAAAATCCTAAAAATAATGAATATAAACATTGTAATATTGCTTTTTTAAAAAATTAAGTACCTTATAGTACATCACATCTGCTTATCATAGATAATCTAGAGACAAATGTTATTCAGATTTCCAGGCAAATTTCATATGCATCTTTTCCTCTTTTCCATCTTTTTTTATTTTGATATTTATTTTCCCCAATTACATGTAAAAATAATTTTAACTTTTTTTTTAAATTTTGAACTCCAAATTTCCTCCCTACCTCTCCTCCTCATCACTCCCATTGAGAAGATAAGGAATTTTATATAGGTTATATATGTGTACTCATGTAAAACATATTTCCATCTCATATGCATTATTAAAAAGCAACAACAAAAAAAATAAAAGGGAAATATGACCAAAATGAAGGGAAAAATATCATACAACCTGAAGAGAAAATGTAAGAATAGAATTATTGTTGATATAGATACCATAGCAGAAGTATCTTAAATCCAAAACTCTCAGGTTGCTTGCCCATTTAAAAGCTTAATGTGGCATTCATGGCCTGTGTTTAACAATTTTTTATGATTCATTCAATAATCTTTTGTAAAATTTCTACCATATGGTGTGTCTATTAGGCACTGGGGAAGACAGAAAAGTTTCTTCCTTCAAGGAGCTTACCCTCAAATATGATGCTTATATGCATTCCTATTTACACAGTAACAGAATCTCAGAGTTGGAAGGTACCTCAGATGCTGTGTAGTCCAACTCAAAGCAAAAAAAAAATAATCCCTTCTACAACATACCTGATGAGTGGTCATCCAGCTCCTGCTTGAAGACCTCCAGTAAGGGGCACCCACCACCTCCCAAAGTAGTCTATGCTACTTTGGAATAGCTCTATTTGGTAAGAATTTTTTTAATCTCAAGCCCAAATTTGCCTCTTTGAAGCTTATTATTACTCTTGATTTCACTGTGGGGGCCCAAACAGAGCAAGTCTAATACCTTTTTACAAATACTTGAAGACAGCCATTATGTCACCCTTGAGTCTTTGTTTCATCAGGCTAAATTAATTTTAAGATTCATTTGAAAGTAAAATATAAACCCCCTTATTCCCCTCAACTACCAGAAAATAGACAAACAGCTTTATAAGTAAACATAACAGAAATAATCATTCCTCGTTGTCATAGTCTTGGGTTCTCTGATTATTACTCAAGAAAAGCAGACAAAACAGATAACTCATGACTGAGTTGTTCCTGTGCTGTGACTCTCTCTTTCTGTACAGTAGCATGCTAATAATTGATCAGGTTTGGTCTTTTCAACATTCTTGTTATAAATGTATTCAGTTCAAATTTTGAAATTCTCACTTGCAGTTTTTTGGCCCAATGACACCCTACAGCATGAATGTGATTTGAATGGAGCCATGGAACTTGTCAGTAGAATGAGGCACCTACAAGCGAAAGGATAAAAAACAGAGTCAATATTTCCTTTTATATCAGCTCTTTAGTGTTAACTTGGGAAGACATTGGTATAGATCCGCAGGGTTGAAAAGAACTATTCACTGACCTCATGTAAAAGGGACTTTGCAACAAAGAATCAGGCATTCTTTCTACTATAGCCACTGTAAAGTGATTCAAAGTCCCAAGTCTTTCAAGACTTATTAGGATACTAGGTGCCCAGATAATAGGGACAAACGCCTGTTCATATTAGGCTCTCAAAAGATATTTGTTGAATTGAATTGGGATTACTGGGCAGTTAAAATTTAGCTTTGCTTCTCTTACAATCCCTCCTGCTCCTCCCCTTGTCTTCAATACAAGGTGCTCTCTGTGTTTTCAGGGGAATATGCTCTTGATATTCATTAGAATATATGTGTCCTTTCATATTGTGCCCATAGTAAAGACTCCCAAAGTCTCTTAAAATGAAGCTTGGAGAGAACTGAAAGTTTTAAGTTTAGGCAAGGCTAACTATAAAGAATTAACTTTTACACTGGGGAAAAGCTTCTACATCTGTAATGAAGCCAGCATGTCACAATGGTCATGATAAACAGTGAAAAGGATTCTTTGTTCTGTCTCCATTTCTCTCTGTTTTCTGAGAAGGATTCAGAATAGATTAAACATCAGGATGAGCAAGGAAGCTTCAGTTGGATTAGTCAGTTATTAAAGAAGAAAAGATTAGATTTTGTTGCCTGCAGAAGCTGATTCTAGGGGTGGGTTCATTAAAGAGTGAATCATATTTCTGTGATCCAGAGAGACAAAATAGCCGAAAAAAATCTCACTCATAGGTATTTTCATTTATTATGTTTAAACAGAAATTGATGGAAACTGGTTCCTCAATGAGGGAGGAGAGCAGAAGAAGGAAGGAGAAAGCTGAAACTTCAGGGCACTATACCAAATTTATTTTCTTTCTGGGCTGGGGACTGAACCTATGATGTCATTAGTTTTGGGAATGCTTTCTGCCCATTCATACCAGAACATCATTGTAACTTCCAGTCTTAGAGTGCTACCCAGGGATTGAGACATTAAGTATTGCTCAGGGTGATATACACTTGAATCCAGTTATTTCTCATTTTAATGCTTGTTTTCTATTGTCTACCTTGCTTCCATTTTTATAGAGAGAATAATACTATGATAGTATTAATAATAATACTATTAGGCAGCCTGATCTAATGGACAGAGGATCCTCAGGACCAGGAGGACCTGTGTTGGGGTGCCACCTCTCACACAGACTGTGTGATCCTATACAGATCACTTAACCTCTCTGTGCCTTGGTGAAATCAAAGATTAGAAGTTCCTAAATAGTTACTGATTAGCATTGATAGAGAAAGTTTGTGGGGATTTTTTTCTTTAATTACTGATCGTTCTTTATAAGAATTGTCTCCAAGATCAGGGATAGATTCCTGAGGGTAAGCACCCAGATTGATTCCAAGGGGTGTGTGGTTAGCCAATCAGAAGGTGGAAAGATGGATTCCCCAGATAACTAATCATGGCCTTGTTTCCAACACAACTACTTTTTTTTAAATTTTTTTTTATTTAGGCAATTGCGGTTAAGTGACTTGCCCAGGGTCACACAGCTAGCAACACATCTACTTTTTAATCAATATGGCACCATACTGTCCCACTTCCCTCCCCCCTCCAAGCAATGTATAAGATCTCAACTTTCCTCTTTCAAGCTAGATGTTGGGCTGTAATGATGAGAATACCAGCAGCCACAGCTATGTCATTGAAGCACCCACCATTGCCACCACCAATCTCCAAATCAGCATACCCTCTAAGAAAATTCTTTTTTTTTCTTCTGATGTGATCACAGAACTTGAAGACTATCCAATCCACTACTCTATACCAATCAAATAAGGTAGATAGGTGTCTGGAGCATGGGGTCCGGAGTTGGGAAGACCTGAGTTCAAATACAGCCTCAGACTTACTAGCTATATGACCCTAGGCAAGTCACTTAACCTCTGTTTGCTTCAGTTTTTTCATCTGGCAAATGGAGGTAATAATAACACCTCCTATGTTGTTGTGTGGATCAAATAAGATAATAATTGTGATGTGTTTAGCACAGTGCCTGGTATATAGTAGGTGCTATAAAAATGCTAACTATTGTTAAATCACACATCCAGTAAAAAAAAAATGTTGGTTTCAGAATGATAAATTGGAGGAGAAATAATCATCTGAGGGGTGGGGGGAAGTGGAACTCACATTCATAAAGACCACAGATCTTAGAAGAGTTGAAAGACAGAAGACGATGTCATTTAATATAGTGCAGTCTTGTTCCAAGTATCAACAAAACGTGAGCTCATGCCAAGAAAGCATAATCCTGATACTTAGGAAAGGGGTCCTCAATCAGAATTTATTGCAATGCTCCCAACTTCAATGGTGAATCCTAAGAGATTCTAGTGCTACTTTCTGGGCATCACCTTTGTTTTCTCTTCAAATAGCTTCATCCATTTCAGAGGCCACAGTGACCTAATGGTAGAGCTAAGTTTATTGCTATTCATTTTCACATGGAAAAAGAAAAGAAAACTCAATTAAAGGACAAAAGAACTATCCTATCATCTTTAGTTATTGTTTATTCTCTAGTTTGAAAACAAATTTAGAAGGAAACTGAACTCTGAACAATTATAATAATAGCCATTTTTGGTCATGGATAACAAATAATGACATATCTGCCACATTAGGCAAATAACTTCACTGCCCAGGGTCTTGGTTTCTTCATCTGTAAAAAAAAAAAAATGAGAGGTTGGGTTGGACTAAATGGCCTTTGAGGTCTCATCTTACTTTAGATCTATGATTTTATCAGCAGAGAAATGACAGTTTGGTGGTAATGTGGGCGAGAGGAGGGAAGAATGTTGCAGCTGGTCATTTTATGAATTGTTTTTGTTGAACTGCTTTTTATCTTAATTTTAAGAAAAAGTTCAGCTCTGACATGGTGGCTGTATGTATGTTTGTGGGGAGGTACAGTGTCAGTAATGCCTATGATATGAAACTAACAGAACACTGGCTGTTTCATATAAAAGGAGGAAAAAATAAAATGAAGGTTGATGGGGCCCTCTCCTTTGCTTCCCAGGTCATGGATCTGAAAGGTCAAATGATCTACATCATTGAATCTAGCGCCATCTTGTTCTTGGGGTCACCCTGTGTGGATCGGTTAGAGGATTTTACAGGCCGTGGGCTCTACCTCTCAGATATTCCAATTCATAATGCCCTGAGGGATGTGGTCCTGATAGGCGAACAAGCTAGAGCCCAAGATGGGTTGAAGAAGAGATTAGGAAAACTCAAAGCCACCCTGGAGCAAGCACATCAAGCCCTAGAGGAGGAGAAGAAGAAGACAGTCGATCTCTTGTGTTCCATCTTTCCAGGCGAGGTTGCTCAGCAGCTGTGGCAGGGACAGGCTGTACAAGCCAAGAAATTCACTCATGTCACCATGCTTTTCTCTGACATTGTCGGATTCACAGCCATATGTTCCCAGTGTTCGCCAATGCAGGTCATTACCATGCTCAATGAACTCTATACTCGCTTTGACTACCAGTGTGGAGAGCTGGATGTCTATAAGGTAGGAGTGGGGAGTTTGGAAGGAAACTCTAGGGGCAGCAGGTGTTTCTTTGGGACACGGAAGTACCTAAAAAAAAAAAGATTTTGCTGTCCACCTGAATTAGATTCATTTGTCTTAATCATGAAATGAAAATCACCTAGGGAGCTGTGCAATGAACAAACTGGAAGCAGGCACCCCCAAGTGATCAGCGTGGATGTTCACTGTGCCAGAAATAGTACTGCTTTACAAAAAGAAAAGGAAAAAAAAGAAATCAGAGAAGGAGGACATTGTTCTGTTTAAAGGACTGCCATACTTCTGTACCAGAATGTAAATAAAGGCATGGCATCCTAAGAGGAAGAGGGCAGTTGGGGTGGGGTAGAGGTGGGTTTGGCTGGAGATTGAATAAAACCCTGGTTCCCAGTAAGCATCACTTTAGTAGATGCAGATATGACAGTTATCATCTTTTGTCCTACTTTTAATGGGTTAGTCATTCCCTTCTGTGGACCCAACAGAGCAAGGTCTAGGCTTCAGAAACAGGACTTCTTGTTTCCAATAATAAGAAACCGATACACACACACACATACACACACACATGTATGTATGTATGTATGCATGTATGTGTAAGTATATGTATATATGTAAGTACGTGTATGTATATATATATGGTTATTTTTTTAAAAGTTGTAACAATGTACAGTGCTTTAGTCTGTGACTTTCATTTGTTCTGAGACTTATGTGTCTAAACCCCCATATACTCTGCTAAATGTTTGCAACTCACTGAGACACTCAGGAAGATAAAGTGCTCTGAGATTTCTATATGGTCTGAAAAGAAATATATAGAGTTAAATAACTTATTCTTGTGGATAATGGAATAGAGGCAGCAGGTATTTTGTGAATTCAAATCTGGCCTCAGACACTTACTAACTCTTTTACCCTGGGCAAATCATATAACCTTGTTTGCCTCAGTTCCTTAATCTGTATAATGAGGTGGAGAAGGAAATGGAAAACCAATCCAGTATCTTTGCCAAGAAAACCCCAAATGGGTCATGAAGAGTCAGACATGACCATGAAGAGTCAGACATGACTAACAACTACAAAATAACAACAGATCCCTTCTAGCCCCAGATTTATAATGTCATAATCCTTTAAGGCAAGACATTTTATGGTAATATGTTTTGCATGATTGAACATGTATAAACTGTATCAAATTGCTTACTGTCTCAGGGAAGGGGGGAGGTGAGGGAAGGAGAGAGAAAATTTGGAACTCAATTTTTTTTTTTAATGAAAGGTGAAATTGTCTTTATGGGTAACCAGGGAAAATGAAATGTTATTCAAGTGAAGACATAAATATCTCAAGGCTATTCATTAGTTTTCAATGCAGTTGGCTGATTCACACTTTAGTTCTAAAGAGTAAATAAAAGAAAACAAAGTCACAGGTAATGTGTTTAGGTTTAAGCATGCAAAAGAAAAAACAATCTAGTGCCCTGTCCTTTTCTTTGAACTTTAAATACAAATTGGTACAAATGGAAAAAACAGACTCTGGGGTCCATGACCTAGGTCCAGACTCTGCCTCTGACACAAGCAGTATGACCTTGGGCTAGTCACTATGAAAAAATAAAATAAGGGAAGGTTGGAGTAAATGAGCTTTGAGATCTCTTCCAGATCTATAATCAGAAGTCCTATGATCCTGTAGTCCTATATACAGTACATATATTTGAATTGTTGAGAGACCGTGGCATTCATTAGTGGATTTCTATGAGCCTTGTAATCAGAAAAACTGAATCTGAGCTCTAACCCCTAGTTTCTGTGTGACCCTGGCCAAGTCACTTACCTTATTTCAGTGCCCCTAGCAACTCTATAATGTTTTAAATCACAGTCCAGGTATTCATTTGTATAGATTGAAGGAATTCTCATTCCTGTGAAATCATGTCTGCAATTTGAATCGCTATCCATTGTCAAACTATAGATGGTGTTTTTCAGATGTTGGCATTAAAATCAATCAATCAGTAAATAGTTCCACAGTTTACACATTCCTCTACCTCAACTCTCTCTCCTGAAAAGGTTCTCCTCTGTCGTGAATTACCTTATCGCCAGTGCCCTTTTGCTCTCTTCATGGCATTGTGGACTAGAGACTCCTCCATTTTTCTTACTTCTTTATTTTCCTTTTGCATCTAGCTCTAGTACCTGCTCCACTCTGCCCCTCACATTCCTTCTGTCTTGTAAGATTATGCACAGAATAGTGTGCTGTGTTCTGAGGGGGATACAAAATTAAGATAAAACAACATCCCCATCCTTATGGAGTTCATAGTCAAATACAAAGGACCACAGATGTGTATCTAGTCTACACATATCTGTAGCTTCTCCACCCAGTCCTACCAACATCTTAGATTCATATAGCATCCCTGAGTGTGCAACACTTGAAAATAGCTTCAGATAGGGGCAGCTAGGTGGCGCAGTGGATAGAGCACCAGCCCTGGAGTCAGGAGGACCTGAGTTCAAATGTAGCCTCAGACTTGACACTTGCTGTGTGACCCTGGGCAAGTCACTTACCCCCATTGCCTAGCAAAAAAAAACAAAACAAAACAAATATGATAGAGGCAGCTAGGTGGCGCAGTGGATAGAGCACCAGCCCTGAAGTTTGGAAGACCTGAGTTCAAATCCGGCCTCAGACCAAACACTTGACACTTACTAGCTATGTGACCCTAGGCAAGTCCCTTAATCCCAATTGCCTTAAAAAAAATGAAAAAGAAAAAATAGCTTCAGATTGTTTTGTTTATTTTATCCAAACTCATTTTACAGAAGGAGAAATGAAGTGTAAAAATATTGAGTGACTTGCCATTGGTCATATTATACACAGACTTCTCAAGTTCATTTTACTCAGTATTGCTCCTCTTTTATAAGAATAGTCTTGCTCTAGCATAATAAGCTTACCTTCTACTGGTCATGATTTCTCCTAAAAGAATTATTTTACTGTTACTGGTTCATGATCCCTCTCTATCTACCTATTAGCTCTGTGACTTAGGTGAACTCAAGGCATTGGAGAAGAATTTATTGTACCATATTTTCTGCATCTGAAAATGAACTTGGATTTCATGGTTTCTCAGATCCTTTGTAAAGCAAAAATCACATGATCCAAGATCTTATACATCTATAATCATATAACACCATTTTCAGGAGTATTTCATATGGTTGGGGTCATCATAGGACATGGATCGTTGTATTCCTCCTATCTGATTTTAAATGTATGTTGTCTTCTGTTGCATTTGCCTTAACTTTTATTTATTCTAAGAAACTAATTTGTATACTTAGGTGGAGACAATCGGAGATGCATACTGTGTAGCTGGAGGCTTACACAAAGAAAGTGAAACACATGCTGTGCAAATTGCCCTCATGGCCTTGAAGATGATGGAGCTGTCAGATGAAGTGATGTCTCCACATGGAGAACCTATCAAGGTCAGGTGGATGTGTCTGATGTCTGTGGGATATATTTAATTCCTGTCGGGGATTGAGGGGAAAATGCTTATTAAAGGCTATCCAAAAAAATGATATCTGAGGCAGACATAAAAAGAATTCATTGGGCAAGCTGAATCCAAGACTTAGGTTTGACTGGAGATGACTGAATTCTCAGTAAGCCACAGTTTAGTAGATGCAGATATGATAGTTATCATTTTTTGTGCTACTTTTAATAGGTAGTCATTCCCTTCTGTGAACCCAAAAGAGCATGATTTGACTTCAGAAATAGGACTTCTTGTTTGCAATAATAAAAAATTCCCTATACTTTGCCAATACCATATAAACCAGAAAAGATATATGGTTGTTAAAAAAAAAACCAGTTGTAACAATGTACAGTAATTTAGTCTGTGACTTTCATTTCTAATGACTCATGTATCTAAACCTCCATATACTCTGCTAAATATTTACTACTCAATGAGTAATTTTAGTAACGATAAGAATATTTTGGAGTCATTTTAACAACTGATTACTAAAATAAAAATATTTTTGAGTGTAAAGATTACTTAAAGAACTCAGAAGGAATAGTTGGATCATATCACATGAAAGTTACTAAATTAGACACAAGTAAACTGGAGAATTTATAAGTTGCTTGTGGCTAACAGCAACCAAGGATCAAAAATAAGTAAATATAGGTTATGGACCAAACAAAATTGAGTTTAGGGGGAAAAGAAGACTATAAGAAGAGTATTCCTTTTTCTTGTGGCCCTGTGTATTTTTTTTCCTCCTAAACTTCCACAATACTTATTCTCATTCATTTACCCACAAACATAGGGAGGAAGTCTTGAATAAGAATAGATAGAAGAGAAGAGAAAAAAGAAGTGAGAAGTTTTCAAATGAAGGACAGTAGGTAGAGGTTAAATCAGGGAATACAGTTGTAGAACTAGTTTTCCCAGTCCCACATGAATCATGAGATTAGCCTCTTCAAGGCTAAACAGAACAGAAGCTGGATTCTTAGGTGAATTGCTGCTGCTGCTGCTGCTGCTGCTGCTACCATGCTATATGTAGACTTCTTTTCCAAGTATATGTGTCCCTCTGAAGCTCAGTTAAGTCCTCCTTTTTCTTCCAACATTGTTCCTCTCCATAGGTCTCCATTATACTCACATCCTGCTCAAGTGTATAACTGTGTGGTTTCTTTCTTTCTTTGTTTTTGCTAAAATGTGAATGAACTCAGAGTGTAATCTGTATAGATTTGAGCTAAGTTACAAGTATATAAACTTGTGTTTCTCACAGAAATTGGCACAGTTTTAAAGCATTAAGCAATCTTTTCTAGGTACTGCCAGTTTTTACCATCCAATTTTTCTCATTGACCCTATTTGAACCTTCAGTCCCAGCCTGAATAATCTCTCAGCACTTATGGTGAATTAAAGTCATTTTTTTTCTCTCTTGGTTCTTTCTTTGCCTCAGGTCAAAACGACTCTCTGTATAGCCACCTAAACCATTGACTCGACTGATGTCCTTTGGGTTCTGTCAACAGATTATTCTCAATTTGTTTCCTTGGATTTGAGTTTCCCATCTCAATGAGCACTTACTGAAGGTCTCCTCAGTTCACTCTCCCAGGTTATTCCAGCTCAAATGAAATGGCATTTGTAAAGCACTTAGCACAGTGCCTGGCACATAATGGTGCTTAAAAAATGCTTATGCCCTTTTCCTGGATTTCTCTTCTATTCGGGTCCCTTCTCTGTAAAGCTGAAGGAGCTGGACCAGATGATTTTGGAGGTCACTTCCAGCTCTGAATGCTGGGATCTTGAGGCTATGGTCTCTTTGTCTCAGGCCATTTCTATTGCGATTGGGCCTTTTTTTTCTCTCTTCACATGCTTGACTATGAAGACAGAAAAACTAGTTTTCAACTTCTACTTCCAAGCTCTTTTCCTAAGGAAGAGAGGATGGATATGTTTAGGAAATGATGACTAGGAAAATCTCCAAATTGTATTTGCGTGACTGATCTATCCAATATTATTACTTTGCTTTTTAAACTTTCAGCTGTGACTTAGAAGAGGGTCATGATAAGTTGACAGATCCTTGGAGTCTTCTATATGTATCTGTTATGCATATTTCAAATGGCATACCATCCAAAAGGAAAAAAAAACCTTTCAAGATAGACACTGCTATACGCTGTATTTTGGGATTTTTTTCTACTTGTAACTATAAATGAGTCATAGATGTAGAAAAGTACTTAGAGATCATCTTAGTCAAGGATTTTTAACCTTTTTTTGTGTTGCTGATCCCTTTGGCAGTCTGGTGATGACTATGCAATCTCTCTTAGAATAAAGTTTTTAAATGCATTAAAGGAAACAGTTACAAAGGAAAGCAATCATATTTAAATATAATTATTAAAATATTAGCAAAACAAATTTCAACATGTTCATATATGCAGTGGAGGTCTAGTAACAATATTGTTGATGTAGAGATGGGCATGAACATTTCCAGATATCTGCAATAATAGCAGTTTGATACAAAAGTATCCATAATTTCTATCGATGAAAAAGTCACAAGTAATGCCAATACGTGGGTGAATTGTTGCCTACATTGATAAAGGAAATGCTAAGTTTTAGTTAGAGCTTAGTGGGAAAAAAAGGATGCATTTTTTTTCCTATTCAAGTTCATAGACCTCCTGAAATCTATCCATGGGCCCTTTGAAGGGTCCATGCAGCCCAGGTTAAGAATCCCTGATCTAGTCTACATTCTCCTCTTACAAGTAATAAAGAGGAGGCATAAAGGATTTAAGTGACTCACCCAAGGTCAAATAGTTAGTGTGGCAAAGCTAAAACTAGAACTGAAATTACCTGACTTTTAATCTAGGGACCTTTCTCCTATAACAGGATAAATGATTGATTAGAAAAGTATTTTGCAAAAATCTTGATTTTACTGTGATGAAGAGAAATATTATTTGTGATCTTCCAATATCCTTGTATAATCATTAGCAGAATTAAATAGCAGTTATTTCCTGGCCTGGAATTTTCATCTGAGTTATTGAAAACTTGAACTTTGTTTAAAGTATATGCTGATGACAAAACAGTACAAAAATGTCTGCTAAATATGGACAGTGATAAGGAGCAGGAAGTTTGTATCACAGTGGTAATACTGGAACTTTAAATTGCCTTGTTTAAACCTAAATAAGCTGTTATAACCATGTCCTGGGGCCATTAGGTGGCACAATGGATAGATTACTGGACCTGGAGTCAGGAAGACTCATCTTCATGAGTTCAAATCTGGCCTCAGACACTGTATAGTCCTGGGCAAGTCACTTAACTCTGCTTGCCTCAATTTCTTCATCTGTAAAATGAACTGGAGAAGAAAATGGCAAACCACTCCAATATCTTTGCCAAGAAAACCCCCAATGGGGTCACAAAGAGTCCCACATGACTGAAATGACTAGATAACAAAAGTGATGTCCTTCCGTCATTGCCATTGGTGTAACCCCTAATTTCTATGTGTTGCTGACTCCTGACCCGTACGCTTCTAGTCTCCCTGCTTTAGTGTTGGGCTGTTCAAGTAGCTTGTCGTAAAAGCAGAGAGAAGAAAGGTTTAGAGGTTTCTAGTCTAAGATACTCTAAATGCCACATTTTCTTGCTTTAAGACTTGGAAATGCAACCTGATGCAATGAAATAGACTCAGACCCAGAAAACTTGTGTTTGAATTCTGGCTCCAGCAGTGATAAAGCGTGTGTTTGGAAGCAAGTGATTTAACATTTCTGAGCCACAATGTCCTTGGCTATAAAATGATGATAATAATATGGGTTGTGAAACAGTGCGGTATGGTGGAGAGATCACCGGACTTCAAATCAGGAAGATCTAGGTGCATGACCTGCCTCTAACACTTACATGCCCTGTGACCATGGGGAAGTCATTTCATCTTTTGAAGTCCTAATTTCCTCATTTGATAAATGAAGGTGTCAGATGAGATGGCTTCTAAGGACCAGCAGGCTCAAAATCTGTGGTTTCACTGCCTAACATTGTTGTGAGGGAAGCACTTTATTAAATATAAAGTTCTATGTAAATATAAATTATTTTGTGTTTATTTTGCCTTTTCTATAAACTTTTATGTTTAGCTGTTATAGGACTCTTTAACTTGACCTGACTACATCCACAGAGGTTTTTGTTATGGCAGTGATAAGGTTTGGATATGAATTGGAAAATTTTTCTAGCCATGAATAAAGGGACATGACTGTGGTGTTCATAGATATTGACTGAATGATTAATGGAAGGAAGGAAGGGAGGGAGGGAAGGAGGAAGAAAAAGAGAGAGGGAGAGAAGAAAAAGAAGAAGAGAAGGAAGAAAGAGGAAAAGGGAAAAAAGAGACAGGAGGGAAAGAGAAAGGAAGGAAGGAAAAATCATTTATCAATAGTTTTCTATGTGCTAGGCATTGTGCTAAACATAGGGATAGAAATATTTTTAAAAGAGAAATAGTCCCTAAATTCAAGAAAATTATATTATAATAGGGAAAGACAACATATATAGGATAGTGGTAACCAGGGAAGGGTGTTTTCTTTTGGCAAATGTGGAGAATAGGACAGGTAGGAAAGAAAAAGCAAGCTGTTTGTTTCAGGCAGATGGTAAAATGGCTTGGGTGGGTTGATGGCTGGACAAGAAGTAAAGTGGAACCAAAGACTTATGTTTAGGACCAGCTAGTTGATAATTGAAGCCTCAGTGGGTTAGTTTGCTCCAAAGATGAAAGGATTAATTTTCTGAGAAAGTGGGATTTAGATTCTGAAAGAGCTAGTGAATAGATCCTTCAGAGTAGAGAGTACTGGTCCATTTGGAGAGAAGCCTGTTGGCAGATGCAGGTAGATAATGTGACGGCCTAGCTAGGTGACTGGATAGGATACAAAACATGGGAGGGTGAAAAAACCAGGGCCACAATTCTAGTATACTTGGAGGTTTAAAAATCGCTTTCCCAGCAACCAAGCAAATTGTGATGTACAAATATTGTTATCCCTATTTCACAGGGAAGACACTGGAGCCTGGAAACTTGTTAATGGTCATATAGCTAATAAATGTTAGTGTCTCCTGATTCCAAGTGAAGTTGTCTTTCTAGGGCAACACACTTTTAATTTTGTATAAAGGTCAGTGGGAGCTAGATGGAAAGTAATAATTATAGCTAACATTTATATACCACTTTAAGGTTTGCAAAGCACTTTACAGATTGTGATTCTCCCTACAACCCTATGAAGTAGATGTTATTATTATCCACCTTTTAAAAATCAAGAAAATGAGAAACAGAGTTTAAGCAACACAACTTATTAAGAAAAGGGTTATGATCACAGTAGTTGATAAGAAAGATGTTGGTGGTGGTGGCACATAAGTATCCAGTCAGAAACAGTAGAATGATGCAAAATATTTTTCAATGACAGGAGTGAGATCTTTTCAATTCATTTAATTCAACAAACGTGTATTAGAAGGGCCAACTATGTGCTAGACACATGATAGGTGCTGGTGACACAAAATTACCCCTGAAGTGCCTTCCATTCTACTGGAATGATAAACATATACACATATAGGTAAAAATAAATCATATACAAAATGAACTAGAGAGATTATCCTAACATCTTTCTGTGCTGGGATAGAGCATCAAAAAAGGCCTGTTGTAGGAGCTAAGATCTGAGCTATACTTTGAAGGAATTCATCTTGCCATTTTCTTTCAGATGCGTATTGGCTTGCATTCTGGATCTGTCTTTGCTGGCGTTGTTGGAGTTAAAATGCCCCGTTACTGTCTCTTTGGAAATAATGTCACTCTGGCAAACAAATTTGAGTCCTGCAGCGTTCCACGGAAAATCAATGTCAGTCCAACAACTTACAGGTACTAATTGTGTTAGACAACTAAAATCTGTTTCTTTTATTTTGTGTGAATCTATTGTTCATTTTTTTATTAAATGTGCTTTTACTTTCTTAAGTAGCAAGGTAATCAACCGCTTTCATTTTCATCATTTTATATTTATTTATTTGTTTTAATCTCAATTGCATTCTGTCCCTTTGAATTACCTATTACCTGTTCCTTGGCATATTTGCTCCCAAGTTGCATTTTTTTTTTACATATAACATGGCCTATGGAATTCTTGAAAACTTTTTATTCATTTACTTGAAAAGCTTAGTCTTCTTAGGGGAAAGCTTTTTGGGGGGAAGTGGGGAGACACATAACTGGCTATCCATTATTTTGTGAAGTTGACAGACTGCTATGGGCAGATCCTAGTAGAGAGATCACATGTAATTGAGAAGGAGCAGAGCAAAGGCAGATACTCTGGAAACCCCTCACAGGCAACCAGAGAATCACTAAATTCTGCCATCTTAACAGCATGCCAACAAATTATTCTTATTTAAATAAAAAAAATAATAATCAAAATCCAGAAAAGAGGCTGCCTTGTAGCATAGGTTAAATTGCATGGGGAAAAAAATCTTGATGATAAAAATCCTTATACAACAAAAAGTTTCCAACTCTAGCTTGTAGTTTTTTGGTTTCAGTCATGTGACATTCTCTAAACGCTCTATCGGCTCCTGTGCCTTTTTGTGGCACGAAGGTGATTCTGGGATCTTAAAAACAAAGGGAGTGATCAGAAGCCTCATTCCAGAAAGATGAGTATTGTCTTGGAATGGACAAAAGTTGCTTTTTGAGGACCTTTCCCTCTAAATACAGAGAGCCTCATCACTAGTAGGTAAACCTAGATTCTTTGAATAATGTAATCATAGACATAATTTTATTCACGTGGAGAATATAATAGAAAATATGCTTGCCAAAGGGGGTTACCCCTATAACAGAGGATGTCGAGCACAAAACCCAAATGGAAGGATTATTCCTCATGAATAAAGTCTTCCAGATGCTACTATTTGTGAGTAACATTGTGATGGTTGCAATATGACTTAGAACAATTTAGAGCCTCCAAAATGTTATCCATAGTTATTCAAAAGAGTGTATCTACATATTACTCAAAAAAATAAAGTAGTAGATGAAGTTATGTTGTATTCTTTTTGTCATTGCTCAGCAGTTTGATTTTCATTTTCTCATCAACAATATTAACTTTTGATCAATTTATTCCAGTGCATTCAGTACTGCCATATATTTGAAAGCATTTTTATAGTCTGTACACAGCACATGAAGATACAATATTCTCAATGCTGTCCTTGAAGTTTCCAGAATGCATATATGCAATGCGTAGTTGAAATACTAGACTGCAAACATGTTCTTATACACCATATCCAAAAAGTCTCATTGGAGTTTTGAGCTTATTGAGGCTTTATTTGATCTATTTATTTATTGTTTAATTTAATTTAATAAGCTTATTTAAGGTTCTTAAAGTTTAAAACAGCACTAAGACTTTTGGGACAATGCATTAGGTAGGAGGCAGCTTGGTGGCTTAGTGATAGTGAGCACTGAACCTGGAGTCAGAAAGACCTGAATTCAAATCCGGCCTCAGACACTAGCTGTGTGACCCCGGGCAAGTTACTTAATCTCTGTTTGCTTTAATCCACTGGAGAAGGAAATGGCAAACCATTCTAGCATGTTTGCCAAGAAAACCCCATGGACAGTATGGTCCACAGGGTCACAAAGAGTCAGACATGATTAAATAACTGAACAACAATATACAGGGTATTGCAAAAGTCTTAGTGCACTTTTAAATTTAAATAAGTTTAAATAAGTTTGTTAGAATAAATTAAATAATATTAAATTTAACTAATCAAAGTAGATTAAACAAAGCTTTAATAAATTTTAAAATGCACTAAGACTTTTGAGACATGCTGTATATTTCTTCTTTTAGAAAGAGTTTTTACACGCCAGCGGAGAGGTGGGCATTGAATCTATTTCCCTGTTTCTTCTGTTTTGATTTACTACAACCAGTCTATTATCAGGATTTGAAATATAATTTTCCTTCTTCTTCCTCACATATTAGAGAAATCTCAAGATGTTTCAGCTACATCAGAGTTCTTAATCCAGAGTCCATGATCTTGTTTTTAAAAATATTTTCATAACTATATTTCAGTATAATTGGTTTCCTTTGTTATCCTCTTTTTCAAATTTTATGCATTGGAAAACATTATTCTAAAAAAGGGATCTACAGGTTTCATCAGACTGTCAAAAGGATTTATTATGCACACATACACACACACACACACACACACACACACACACACAAAGTTAAGTACCCTTAGGTTAGATCAAGGATAGGGAACCTGCAACCTGCAAGCCACATGTGGCCCTCTAGATCCTTGGGTGCGGCCTTTTGACTGAGTCCAAGTTTTACAGTACAAATCCTTTTATTAAGGGAATTTGTTCTGTGAAGTTTGGCTTCAGTCAAAGGGCTACACTTGAGGACCTAGAGGGCCACATGTGGCTTCAAAGCCGCAGATTCCCCACCCTGGGTAAGGTAATAACAGTTGTGTGGGTTTCATGTCCCTAAGTCTTATAAACCAATCAATCAACAACAATCATTTATTTAGAACTTACTACATGTCAGACAGTAGATTACAAAGACAACAATAAAACATTCCCTGCCCTCAAGAAGCTTACATTCTATTAGCATATACAGAATAAACACAAAATAAATACAAGGTAATTTTGGCACGTTGGGATCTGGGAGGATCAGGAGAGGTTTTATTTAGAAGATACTGTTTGAATTGAATCTTTAATGAAACAAGGAACTCTAAGGGGCAGAGGCGAGCAGGAAGAGGGCATCCCAGGACATGGAATAAGCAGTGCAATAGTGTGGAGATGGGAGATGTCATGCCAATGTGTAAGGAATAACAAGAAGTCCAGTTTGATTAGATCAACAATAATAAGGCTGAAAATGTAGGTTGGGGCAGGGATGTGCAGGTTGGGAGATAGGAGATGGCCAGTCATGTGTTGTTGTTGTTATTGTTCAGTAGTTTCAGTCAAGTTTGACTCTTCATGACCTCATTTGGTGTTTTCCTGGTGAAGATATTGGAGTGGTTTGCCATTTCCTTCTCCAGCTCATTTTACAGAAGAAGAAACTGAGGCAAATAGGGTTAAGTGACTCATCCAGGGTCACACAGCTAGAAAGTGTCTGAGGCCAGATTTAAACTCAGATTTTCCTGACTTTAGGCCTGACATTCTATCAACTGCACCACCTAGCTGCCCATGGATAAAGAACCAGAAAAAAAAAAGGCCAATTTGATTGGCTCATAGATGTGATGCATAACAAGGCTAGGAAGGTAGAGTGAGACCAGGTTGTGAAAGACTTTAGATTCAAAATAGAGGGGTTTATATTTGATCCTGGAGATAATAGAGAATTGTTGGCATTTATTGGAGGTGTGGAGGGGGTAGGAGTGAGAGTGTGACCTAATCAGACCAGCACTTTCGGAAAATCACTTTTGCAAGTGTGGGAGGATGGATTGGAGAAATGAGAAACTTGAGGCAGGGAGATTGATTAGGGAGATTCACTGAAATAGTCCAGGGGCCAAGACACTGAAAGTAGTGTGCTTTATGGTATTCATAGAATCACAGAATTTCAGGTTTTGAAGAGATATCAGAGATCAGAAAGAAATATAGGGCAGTATGTTTATTTGGACATGGGAATAAATGATAGCTTTTGGGAGAAGGGAGAGCGGTCTAGACCTGTGATTTAATTAGCCTGGAGGAACTCCTGGTATGAAAATTAGTTCCATTCATACAGATCAGCAAAATGATCTATAATACATAATCACCATTATCTGGAGAACTGAAAGATGAAGCCATTTTCCAAGAACCCTACAGTTACTTACCTGAGTACTAAGAATACTTAAATCCCAGGTCTTCTCAATTTTGAGGTCAGCTCTCTTTCTACTAGTCCAAGCTGCATCTTTAGAAGAAGTCAGTAGTGTTACTTTAAATGATTTCTTCTAGAAGAGATTTATTTTCCATGTTGTAATAAACTTCAGGAGGAAAAGGACAGTTTGAAATTTCCATTGGATGTCTGTGCTTTGTAAATATATAATTAATAATTGACTTTAAAACACAGGCAGACAGTTTGGATTTAAATCTAGTTGCAGTCTAAGTGGTCAGCACAAATGGACTTTTGTGTAGAATAACCAAGAAACGCTATTTATCATGGAGTGTAAATATTTCTCTTGACAGGCCCTTTGGTAGCACATTTGTTGAGAGCTGAACTCTGGAAGAAGGTTCCTCTGAGAATAAAATTCATGGTTTAACATCAAGGATCTTTATAAATATGTCAAATATTTATGGCAAATATGATGTGAATTACCACAAAAAAATACCTTTTGTGGATAACAAATAAAAGAATGGTCTCATGTTGAAATACTCATTATTTCCAGATTTTGACCAATAAACCAAGATATGTTAGTCCTAATGGCAATTTTATGACCATCTTTCCTAAAGTCTCTTAAAGATTTTATGTCACCATTTTAAATGCTGCTGATTTTCCGTTTAAGACCAGTTTCACTTTTTCATAGTAGCAAATTCAATCTTAGTTTTATTGATAAATAGGAGTGGGGTAGCTTAAATATCACAAAGAATCTGAATATTTTGAGCTTTGGGGTGTGTAATGCTACTGAGGTTACAAGATGTTTGCCATGAATATATTAAAAGTGATAGAGGAGTGATATTGATAGTAAGGAGTTCAACAAGGGCCAAAGTAAGTCAGGACCATTTTGTCCTAAAGAGCCCTTGAGTTCAAGATTATGTGTGGAGTAGCTGGTATAATGGATACTTCACTGAACTTGGAGTCAAGAAGACTTGAATTCAAATCCTGTCTCTGAAATTTACTAACCTTGGAACCATAGGTAAATCATTTAACCTCTCTCAGTCTCAGTCTCCTCATCTGCAAAATGATAGGGCCTGCCTCCCAGGTT